CAGAGTGAGGTCAGCCAAAGGCTGATTCTGGAAGAGAGTGGAACAATTAGGAAAAATCTCCCAGAGATAGTTGGGCAAGAGGTACTCATGCTATGGGTTACATTGTGTCCCCTAAGAGTTTACATGTTGAAGTCCCAACCTCCAGGGCCTCAGAATGCTAGTTTATTTGTAAATAGAGTATTTCCAGTTGTAATTAAGATGAGGTCATATAAGAGAAGGTTCCTAATTCAATATGTCTGAAGTCCTTATAAAAAGGGGAAATTTGTAAAAAAGACACAACACACCGAAATAATGACAGTGAAGATGGAGGAAAAGATCAAGGTGATGTTCCTAATCACCCAGATTGCCTACTCCTGACTCTGGCTCTCACCTGTCTATTCCCTCAGCTCAAGGAGCAAGGACCAACTTCCCCAGTACCCAGGCCCCTCCCATTTCTGTGAATCCTGCTGTAGCTTTGCTCCAAAAACATGCTGATGTCCCTCACAGAGGTACTGGACTTTCAGCTTAGGGAGGAGGCCATAAAAAAGCCAAAGGTAACCTCTGTCTTCCTCACCACTAAGTTAGTATGGCCCTGTGTATATCTTGTATCTGGGATCCAGGGTAGTGGTGGTCCTCAGCAGGTACTCAGCTGTGAAGAAGGCCCTTGTGGACCATAATAAAGAGGACTTCAGTGGCTGGAGTGGCTGCCCCTTCTTTTTCAGGTTCAGCAAGGAAAATGATAAGCCTCTCCCACCTCTCCTCCATCTTAGAGAACACTTCTCCCATTTTTGTAGCCTGAAAGAGGGAGATAGTTTTCCCATTCTTGGTATCCTTCAGTGTCCTTAATCCCACCAGCGACATCAGTCCAGGACCAGAATGAAGTTGTACAAACTTCATCATTCCCAGACACCATCACTAGCTTAAATTTTGTTCTAATTCGTTTCCATTTCAAACTCAAGACCGTTCTCATCTCACTTGCATCTCAATTGACAAGTCAAATGATCCCAGACCAGTCCTGACTGTCCACCTAAACCTTAACCCAATCTTCGTTGTAATTTTCCATAATCAATCCCATCCTAATTCTATTGGTCGAAATGAACTCATGATTCCTCATCCAGCCCCTAGCTCCATATTTTATCCTATAAAATTTGGCCAGTCCCCAATATGCATTTTTCATTTAAATCCTACAAACCCAATCACCAAATCCAACACATCAAATAATAATCTCAACCTAAAATGAAATTCAATCTCAGTGCCTATATATCAAACCTAACAGGAAGAGTGAAATAGACTTGGACTCAAAAAGATAATCCAGCCTTGTCATTAATCAAGCTGGAATGACCAACACAGAGGAAGCCAGCTGCAAAATTAATAAGAAATACTGTTCCTCCCAGGAATCATGCAGTAGCTGTAAAATGACAAAAGGCCCCCCTCTTTTGAGTGATGATTGATTTTTTACTAATGGCTTCCAAGACTGCTTTTTATATCCATCTTTTGCTTGGAATACCAAATTTTTAAATTGCCCACAGTTCATGACTGTACCTAACCCCTAATTAATACCCACTTCTAATCTGTCTTTAGAACAATCAGTTAATACAGAACTTATCCCCTCTTACCTTAGATTCCCCCTCAAATTCTTCAGAAAGCAGGAACTCTATTCTTACACAAGGCATTTCTCCCATCACACTTGATGATTGGCACCCCACAGTTCTTCTGTAGTGTCCTTCCTCCGTGTATTGAGTCACTTAACCTGATTTTGTCACACTATACTTTCATCCCTGTGGTATTCGGCTAATTAGGATTTAATACCTTCTACCTAGCCCATCATATTACCACCCTCACTGATCCAACACCATTCTGATCACCAGTCCATGAATCCTCTACCTGATCTAACCCGATTCCATTGTTTCAACCCCTTGTCAATAGCATCGAGAAACCAAATGACACCCTTACCCACTCCATTGTCAGCTCCACCCACATCCATCTCAAACCCTGGGTCTTGCTGATGATTAGATAACTTGTTTTATTTGGTTGTGAGAAATCAACCATTACTGTGGTTTTCAAACGTTTCAAGCATGGACTATTTGTTCAATGTATTATTTCAAAGCTTAATATGAGTCTGAAAAAGGCAGATGCTGGGCTGAAAGCAGTGACCTGGGGACCTGCATCCTGGGCTCGCTTTCTCAATTGTGCAGTCTCCTGGGGAAGCCCATGCCCCTGGTTGGGTTCCAAAGATCTGACTCACAATGGAGGAGTCTACAGACAATAATCCTTCTATTAACATCGAGGTCACTTTCCCACATTTGTTTATTCCTTCTGGCTTGAGCTTATGACTACAACTGTCAATGTGTATTGGAAGAGGAAGTGGAAGGAGGGAGATAAGGTCACAGCATTAAGTTCGGACAGAAAACATCCTAGAACATACCTGGTGTGTTGTTAAAAATAGCCACCATCCAAGTATTCTACATATAGTACAAGGAAAGCAGCCTGCCTGGGGTCTGTTACTTACCAGTGGTGTATTTTGGCAGGTAGCCTCCCCCATCTGACTCTCAGTTTGCTGTCCTAAGAAGATTGACTGACATGCTGAACTTATCAAGGTTGTAACGGGAAAACTCTGGAAGCTGTGGGGGCTCAGAGATAAAGCCTGATTTGGCTTGGAGGTCAAGGGAGTCTTCACAGTGTAAGGAATTTACTCATTCTGTGTTTCTCCAAATGGATACCAAGACAGGGAGTCTCACAGGGAGTCTCCAGGAATGGATGCCAGTTGAGCTAGCCCCCCGACTTTGCTCTCAGGTATTACTTTCTCCAATGGCAACAAGTGGAAGGTTCTAAGAAAGTTTAGTGAACAGGTACTGCATAATATTAGCCTGGAGAAATTGAGCCTTGAGAAGCAGATCCTGGAAGAATTCAGCTTTCTGAGAGTCGAGCTAAGGAAAATTGAAGGTCAGCCCTGGTCCTGGCTCTTTGACATTCTTTTTTTTTTTTTTTTTCCTGTCAGAGTTACTTTGTATGTGAGTGCATGTTGTGTATTACACTATGCCTAGAGACTTCATTCACTTAGACTCTAATGTGAATAGCTTACTCTGGATTGTTGCAACCAAGTATCCCAGTTTGTGGTGCCACATGCCCTTGATGTGTGATGACAAGATATACTCCATGCATTAGCAACGTTTGCTCCTGTTATCTGTCAATATTGTATTTAAAGTCCAGCATGTGTAACCGTGAGGGAAATTATGAGGGAGATTATGAAGATGATAAGATGATGATGAAGATACCATGTGTCAAATCTTGTGATAACCACTTTATCATGCCTCAGTTCACATAAGCCTCACAATTATTCATTTTGAAGATAAGGAAACTGAAGCCCAAAGAGATCAAATAACCATATTGAAGTCATAATGCCACTTGATTGAGACATCACGATTCAAACCTAAGTTGAACTGACATACTCAACTAATTTTCTACACATCTAAGACACCATTTCCTCAATAACACCTGTTAAGACTTGAGTCGTTTTTGCATGTCAGACACTGCTAAACAACTTGCACATATGAAGTCATTTCAACTGCGCAATACCCACCTAGGGCAGGAACCATTACAGTAGAGGACACTGAGTCCCAGAGAACTTAATACGGTCCTAATGTCACACAACAAGGAAGTGGTGGAGCTAGGATTCAAAGCCAAGTTAAGATTTGTGCTCATCTTACACCATGCTGAGTGCTGATACAAGGAAAACAATTAAGCCATTGTTTAAATATCTGTATCAAACCAAAAAGCTTGTGCACAGCAAAAGAAACCATCAACAAAACATAGAGGCAACCACCTGAAAGAGAGAAGGTATTTGCAAACAACATCTTTGATAAAGGGCTAATATCCAAAGTATATAAAGAAATCATACAACTCAACAAACATAAAACAATCTAATTAAAAAATTGGCAGAGGACCTGACAGACACTTCTTCCAAGAAGACATACAAACGGCCAACAGAGACATGAAAAGATGCTCAACTTCACTAGCTATTAGGAAATTGCAAATCAAAACCACAATGAGATACCACCTCACTCATGTCAGAATGGATATCATCAACAGGACAAGTGATAACAAGTGTTGGAGAGGTTGTGGGGAAAATGGAACCCCCATACACTACTGGTGGGCATGTAAATTGGTACAGCCACTACGAAAAGAGATACAGAGGTTCCTCAAAAAATTAAGAATAGAATTACCATATGTCCTATCAACCTCTCTTCTGGATAGCTACCCTCCAAATTTAAAAACATTTATCTGTGGAGATATACGAACCCTGATATTCATAGCAGCATTGTTCACGGTGGCCAGGACATGAAAACAGTTGAAATGCCCTAGGTACATGATTGCATGTGATGTATTACTGAATTGTATGCTTGAAACCTATATAATTTTATTAACCAATGTCACCCCAATAAATTTAGTAATAAAAAAATAAATAGCATTAATTGCATTTCTACTTTTGGTCAAGACAGAGAAACAGAGGCTAGATTTTGCTCCCATGTGAAATAACTAAAGAAAACAAATAAACAAAATATCTGAAATATTGGGAATCCATGGATAGCCCAAGAGTTGGTTTGAGTTGAGGAAACAGAGCTGAGGATTGAGGGAAGCCAAGGTCTCTAGACTTCTCAGAGATGTCTACCAGTGAAAAGAGAGTGCAAAGCCTGAGCCCTCCAAAAATTTACAGAGGCTCTGCCTTGTGTCCAGGTGCTCAGCACTTAGGTAGAGGAACTACCTGAGGCCAGAGAAAGAACTATGCAAAAAAAGCAGAAGGAACAATCTCATAGTTCATAGCTGGGACCCTGAACTCCACCTACGCCTACAAAGATGTTCTAGCCTCCAAAATCTCATCTATATTTCCCAGTCTCTGTGAGCTGCCCATCCTCTGGTTCCTTAGTGCCCTGACCCAACCCAACCATTTTTCACCACCACCACTGTTTGTGAACCCACCAGCTCAATTACATCGTTCCTTCCCTCTCTGTCTTCCACAAACCCTAAGTTACTATGGGCCCGCCTCCTGCTTGGAAAAACAAGAACAGATCCATCCTGGCCCCCCCAAACTCCCCCACGCAGAGACAGCGCCTCCCTCCTCCAACAAACACCTCACCCACAGCCCGAGTGAGGCAGATTAACCACGCGGTGTTGTGGGGGGTGTGTTTTCGCCTGCGCTGGAGGACCATGAGTCCCCGCCTTACACACAGGCAATGATCTGGGAGTGCAGCGCTTCACAGACGTCATTCTCCTGAACTTTCCATGCCGCATCTCCAAGGACATGGTATTCGTGCCTTCTTGCTGCCCAAGGTATGTCACACACCAGCCTCCACTGGAGAGTCTGGCAACTGATACCTGAGCCCTGGAAACCAGCATCTGGTACCCTAGTCATTGCGTACCCTAACCCATAGCAACAGGCAACCGTGATCCTGGCACCCAAAACCGGACCTCTTCCCCAGGATTCCCTCCTCTGCCCAGCGAACCGGAGCCCATTCTCATCATCCTGGCCTTCACAAGGCAGGCTTCCCTTCTCAGTACCCCTCTCTAGAACCTGGGGCCCATGGACTATCCCTAGTGTTCTCAGAGACCACGCCCCTTTCCCAGGACATCTAGTCATTATAGGTTGCTTTCAATTACTAGCATTTCCCCCTAAGTAGGTTGAAGTGAATAAGATAGTATAGGAAGGTACTTTATCCAACCTATATTAGAATATTTATTTGCATGTGATTTTTAGATCTATATTAATTCTATAAGAATAATTCTCATATTTTTAACCTAATTATTTTTATTTGTATCCACGCCGTCACTTAAATTAAATATATGTAAAACAAATGCCATTATACTCTTACCAAACTCTGGCCATGTATTAAGTTGACCCGAGCAATCAAAAAGGCTAGGTTATGCATCATTTTGAGGTGAATTTTCATCCTCTCTTTCAAGGCATCAGCAAATCTTTCTACCTTTTTGTTCATACATTTTATTTTCTTTAAATTCCTTTTTATTGTGGACAGAACATTTAGCATGATATCTACTCTCTTAAAATTGTTAATTGTACAATACAGTATTTCCTTAATATCAAATTTTTATAAAATTTTCAATTACAGTTGACATACAATATTATAAAAGCTTCAGGTGTACAACATAGCAATTAGACATTTGTATAACTTGTGACGTGATCCCCCCACCTTGATAAGTCTAGTGCACACCTGACACCACACATATTTATTACAATATTATTGACTGTATTCCCTATGCTGTATTTTACATCCCCGTGACTATTTTTATACCTACCAATTTGTATTTCTTAATCCCTTTCCTTTTTGCACCCATTTTCTCCAACTACCCCTCTCACCTGGCAATCAACAATTTGTTCTCTGTTATCTATGAGTTTGTTGCTGTTTTGTTTGTTTTTTAGATTCCATATATAAGTAAAATCATACAGTATTTGTCTTTCTCTGACTTTTTCACTCAGCATAATTCCTTCTAGGTCCATTCATGTTGGCGCAAATGGCAAGGTTTCATTCTTTTTTTATGGGTGAGTAACATTCCACTGTATATATGTACCACCTCTTCTTTATCCATTCATCTATTGATGGAGGCTTAGGTTCCTTCTACAGCTTGGCTATTGTTAAATAATGCTGCAATGAACATAGGGGGGCACATATTTTTTTGAATGAGTAGTTTAGATTTCTTCAGATAAATACCCAGAAGTGGAATTGCTCGGTCATACGGTAGTTTTGTTTTGAATTTTTTTAGGAATCTTCATATTGTTTTCCATAGTGGCCGCACCAATTTTCAATCCCATCAACAGTGCAGGAAGGTTTTTTTCTCCACATCCTTGCCAACACTTGTTTCTTGATTTATTAATGATAGCCATTCTGACAGGTATGAGGTGATATCTCATTGTGGTTTTAATTTGCATTTCTCTGATGATTAGTGACCTTGAGCATCTTTGCATATGTCCATTGGCCATCTATTTGCCCTCTTTAGAGAAATATCTATTCAAGTCCTCTGCCTATTTTTAAATGGAATTGTTCGTTGTGTGTGTGTGTGTGTGTGTGTGTGTGTGTATTAAGTTATATGAGTTCCTTATATATTTTTGATATTAACCCCTTATTTGATGTATCACTGGTGAATATCTTCTCCCATTCAGTAGATTGTCTTTTCATTTTATTGATGGTTGCCTTCATAGTGCAAAATCTTTTTAGTTTGATGTAGTCCTATTTATTTTTTTCTTTTGTTTCCCTTGTCCAAGGAGACATATCCAAAAAATATTGCTAAGAGTGATGTCAAAGAGTTTACTGCCTATGATTTTTTTCTAGGAGTTTTATGGTTTTTGGGTCTTACATTTAAGTCTTTAATCCATTTTATTTTTGTATATGGCATATGAAAGTGTTCTAGTTTCATTTTTTGCATGTATCTGTCCAATTTTTCCAACAGCATTTATTGAAGAGATTGTTTTTGCCCTATTGTATATTCTTGCCTCTTCTGTCATAAATTAATTGACCATATAGACATTGACTTATTTCTGGGTTCTCTGTTCCATTGATTATGTGCCTGTTTTATGTTAGTACCATGCTGTTTAGATTACTATATCCTTGTTGTAGAGTGTGAAATTAGGTAGCGTGATACTTCTAACTTTGTTTTTCTTTCTCAAGATTGCTTTGGATATTCAGGGTATTTTGTGGTTCCACATAAATTCTAGGATTATTCATTCTGGTTCTGTGAATAATGCCATTGGTATTTTGATAGGGATTGTGTTGAATCTGTAGATTGCTTTGGGTAGTATGGATGTTTTAACAATGCTAATTCTTTCTATCCATGAGCACAGTATATCTTTCCACTTATCTGTATCTTCTTCAATTTATTTCTTTAATGTCTTAGAGTTTACTGAAGTATACTTTCTTTTACCTCATTGGATAAGTTTATTCCTAGGCATTTTATTTTTTTGATGCAATTATAAATGAAATTGTTTTCTTAATTTCTCTTTCTGTTAGTTTATTATTGGTGTGTAAAAATGCAACTGATTTCTGAATATTCATTTTGTACCTTGCTTTTTTACTGAATTCATTTATTAGTTCTAATATCTTTTTGTTAGATGCTTTTGAGTTCTCTATATGTAGTATCATGTTGTCTGCAATTAATGAGTTTCACTTTTTTTTGTTCTTATTTGGATATCTTTTATTTCTTTTCCTTTTCTGATTGCTATGGCTAGAACTTCCAATACTATGTTGAATAAAAGTGGTAACAGTGGATATTGTTGTCTTATTCCTGATCTTAAGAAAAACGCTTTTAGCTTTTGCCCATTGAATATGATGTTAGCTGCGGCTTTGCCATATTTGGCCTTTATTACATTGAGGTATGTTCCCTTTATTCTCACTTTTCTCTCTGTCTCTGTTTCTGTCTCTGTCTCTCTCTCTCTCTTTTGATGAATCTGTCTAAAGGCTTATCAATTTTATCTTTTTAAAGAACCAACTCTTGGTTTCATTAATCTTTTCTTTTCTTTTTTTTTTAGACTTTATTTTTATTTATTTCCACTCTGGTCTTTATTATTTCCTTCTTTCTACTCATTTTAGTTTTTTTTTCTTTTTTTTAGTTCCTTTAGGTGCAAGGTTAGATTGTTTGTTTGAGCCTCGGTTCCCCTTAGATGTAGGAAGGGGGTGAACCATATCAGGCTGTGGCAATGGGAACTTAAATCCAAATACACACTCAGATATGGTTGCTATGTTGTCATCTTTTTCTTAGGGATCTGAAAAATTTAAGTGACCTGGGACGAATCTTCGACTCACTCTGGGCCTTGATTTTTCCCTGTCTCTGAAATGGGCACCATGATCCCTTTCCTTTTCTGGGCCCAGGTACTTGGTCATTATGGAGGATGCAGCTGATTGGGTCCAAGGTAGATCATAAGAGGGACTTCTAAGTTGGAGCAAGATACTAGGCTACGACTCAGAGAGGGGAGCTGGGATAGTGTGAGTGGTGGCTTAGCATCAGACTCTTACTGATGGAGAAGGGCACAAAAGCATCATTTTTCTTAAATTGCTCCTTCTCATCCAGGAAGTGCTGGTGGTTGAAATCTTGGGGTTTGGAGAAGAACTTGGGGTCTTTCAGCACAGAACCCAGAACAGGATACACTTCAGTGCCCTGGTAGGAAGAGGGAAGAGAATTTGATAAGATGGAGGGAGAATAAGCGTGCCGAAGGACATAGGGTTGGAGGGGTAGTTTGGGTGCCTTGAGTGAGGAGAAATGGGAGGCAGGGGAGTTGGGGTCCTCTCTAAAGGAGGAGCTTTGGGGGACATGACATTCCTGTTCCTGAGACAGGAAGTTTGGGGAACTTGGGTTCTGTGTCTCCTGAGGCAGAAGGTTTGGAAGTTTGTGCAACACGGGGTTCATGTCCCATGAGAAAGAAGTTTGAGGAACATGGGTTCTGTGTCTTCTGGGGCTGAAGGTTTGGGGGACACGCAGTTCATGTCTCTCAAGGCAGGATGTTTGGGGTACATGAGAATTGTGTCCCTGAGGGAGATATGGGATTCAGGAGTCTCCGAGTGGGAAGGCTGAAGAGATATGGTGGTTGGGGAAGTGTTTTATTGAGGGGGTGGGATAGGGGCTGGGAAGCCTCCAAGGGGGATGGAGTGCTGGTTCACAGGGAGTAGGTTGGAGATCCCTCTAGGCTGGGTAAAGGCAGTGCCTTGGGGAGGAAAAAGTCCTGAAACTTGGTGTCCTTGGTGACTCTGTGGTTCAAGCCCAAGGGGATCATGTCTCCGAATCTTTGGATCTCATGGATCACTGACTCTGTGTAGGGCATCTTGGCTTGGTCCTCGAACTTGGGCTGATGGTTCTTGTGAATTACCCGATCAATCTCTTCATGGATCTTGGCTGGGGGATGAAAGGGAATGCATTTAGGTATCTAGGGGTCTCAGGGCATGTACACCTGGATGCACAATATGCATGACATCCATACATGTGTGACTTGGGTGCAAATGTTTTAAAATAGAGGTTGGTTCGCCATAGGCACTATTGGCGCAGGGCCCTGTTCACCTGTTGTGCCAGAATCATAGGGGAAGTGCGAGGGAAGAGTAGTGGGGATGGTTTTGAGAGGGGCAGGTGGTGGGCGCTCAGTGGGCTCAGCACAGGAGGTATTTACTAAGCAGTTTACATATTTTCAATATTTTAAGAGCTAGTAAAACCTGGCTGGTGCCTATTAGCCAAATATCACTTCATTTGTGGATAGCAGGGCATGTCTGACAGTCTCGGGATCTCAGAAAAGTGGGGACATTGCAGTGGGCTCAGAGACATTTTGAGTGTCTGTGATCCTCCCTTCCCTGCTCCCTCCAGCCTTACCCTCCACATCTGGGTACTTCATGAGAATCAGGAAGCCATAACGCAGGGTCATACTGACCATCTCGGTGCCCTCAAAGAAGAGGTTCAGCGTGGTCAATACCAGGTTCTTCATGTAGAACTCTATATTGGAGTTCTTCTGCTCCTGCAGGGAGAGAGGGCTTCAGGCCGAGCTCACTCTCCTATGCTCTCAGGGCCATTCTGAGGGTGGTGGTGGTGGGGCTGGGGGTTGGACCCATTTCTCGTAGATTCAGACCAAATGTGAGAAGAGGGACCCTAGTTCTGCCTTGCTCTCTCTGGTCTCCAGGCCTTTGCCCAGGCTGCTGGCTCTGCCCCAAATGCTATTCTCATGCTCTTTGCCTTGCTATCTGTCCTTTCGTTATCAGCTTAGTTGTTACTTTTTAATTGTAGAAATATTTCAAAAGAGAGGGATAGAGAGAGACAGTGATTGAGAAAGAAGGACAAGAGATAGCATGATAGAATATGTCAGAGAGAGTTAAAGAGAGACAGATTTTCTGAGACAGATACAGAATATGAAGCAACAGCATCCTATTCCTTCACTGAAAATCTTGAAGCTTTCTGTGGAGGCATCTTCTCGCTGATCTTTTCACCTTGAACTTGACTCCATAAAGCCCCTTCTTCTTTCTTCACAGACTGACATTCAGATGGGGGCAGGGACTCTCAACATCACATAGTAAAGCCAGGTTACCTGTCCACTCGGGTGTATTTGATAACCAGGGAATGAAAAGTAAGAGAGCATGGTGGATAAAAGCACCAGCTTTAGCATCCAGAGACCAGGGTTTGAGCTAAGGTCCACTGCTTCCTTGCTATGTGGCCTCAGGCATGCCATTTATACTCTCTGGGCTTCGGTTTCCTCGTTTTAAAATTGGGGACATAATTGAGCCTCCTCCAAGAGCTGGTGTGAGCTAAATAGGTGAATACGGTAAAGATCTTATTATTTTTAAAAATAATTTGCACTTATTTTTCTTTATTATTTTATGCTTATAGCACCTGGTCTTCCTAAGTGGTCTCCCATCCAAGTACTAACCAGGCCCGACCCTACTGTAAAGATCTTAAAATAGTGCCTGGTGCACTATTATATAGAAGTGCTTGCTATTATGATTTGCACACACAAGTCCTGCTCATGGGTAAGGGCTCAGTGGAGAGAACAGTGATGGTTAATTATAATTGGGATTGTAAAGATTATCGTGAAGAGGAGATGAATGCCCCATTCCCAGCCTGATTTCCCTCTGCTTGGCTTTGGACTTCTGCACTGGCTGCTGGAGTATACCTCCTGCATGTGGATGAGAAAAGAGTCGATGAAGTCCAGCGTGCGTTGGTTCTGCTCCACCTTCTTGGCTATGAAGTCTTACAGCCCCTGAAGATCCTTAAATGCCTGTTGCTGTGGCCCCAGCAGGTGTTTTATCAATGGATAGAACATCTCACAGAGCTGAATGTGTGGAGAGAAGGGAGAGGAAGGACAGCTGTCAGTAGGCAGGACCTGATTGGAGCGGGACCTGTCTCAGGGCAAGGGAGGCACTGGGTTAAAGGCACCTGTTCAGGTGTTTAGGTATTTAGATGGGGCTGGATGGGAATAGATATCTAAGTTTTCATGTGAGTTAAATGTGAGGGCCCCTGTCTAAGAATTTAGATGAGATGGATTGGGATCCATTTCCAGATTTGAGATATTCAGGTGAGGCTGGACCAGGGCACACATCTAGGTGTTCAGATATTCAGGTGAGGTTAGATTGGGAGCCACTTGTTCAGGTGTTTAGCATTTCAGGTGGGACTGGTATGGAGGGGGGTCACCTGTCTAAGTGTTTAGGCATTCAGGCAGGCTCGGTTGAAGACAGCTGTCCAGATATGTAGGGGATCTGGTTTGGGGCTTCTGTACAGGTGCAGGCATAAAAGTGGCGCTGGTGTACAGGTGTTAAAGTGGGGGAGATACTCGGTTAGGTGTTGAGACATTCAATTAAGCTGACACTTCTGTAGGTGTTTGAATGAGCTGGGTTGGGGGTCATTTATTTTGATATTTGGGGAACAAAGTCTCTAGGTTTTTAGATGTGTAAGGTTCTTGCTGGGGTATCTGTCCATTTGTTCAGATAATTAAGTGGGCTGAATAGGGAGCAACTGTCGAAGTATTCTAGTGGGCTGGTTTGGGACACCTGTGTAGGTATTGGATGGTTTTGGTGGGCTGGATTTTGCAACGCCAGGTTTTCAGGTATTCAGGAGGTGGGCTGAGGTGATCACTTGGTCCAGAAAACTAGTTTAATGTATGTAAACTGTAATTAAAATTTGTTTAAATAGTAAATAGATTTCTTTAAAAGCTTACTTGAGTAATTATGAGTGGAAGTATAATATAGCAAAATAAAATATTAAAAAATAAAAAAAATAAATTCAGATGGAAAAATGGAATATCTCAAAAGGGAGCACCTGTTAGATATTAGGGTGAGTTGGGATGAGAACACCTGCCCAGGTAAGAGAATTGGGTTGAGGACATGTATCT